CCAGGAAGTCTCGTGGTATTCAGACTTTTCCTGAATTAGGGGCAATCTATTTTCAGCTTAGACTTCAATAATGAAGTTACTTTTCCCACCAAAAAAAGCAACTTCCCAGGCAGAGTGCAGAATAAAGAATGCTGGCCCAGTGGAACACAGGGAGCACTAATGTCAGAGAGTGCTACGTGGAACATACAGAAGATGTCCCTTCTGAGTGACTAATGCAGATATTTATGCAGAGTGGGGTGAAGAAAGCAAAATTTTCCTACTAATAAAATGAATAAAGTTTCTAAAATGAACTTTGAGCAAATACAGATGCTAAAAATCAGAGTGCTTTGGTAAATAAGTTTTAAAATAAAACATGATTATCCCAGCATATGAAGTCAACAGTCTTATTCCCTGCACTTCTTTAACTCCATTTGGTGCAAGGCTCTGTGACTATAATAATGGCAAAGATGCCCAAGAAGCTTGTGGCAGAGACCAGCCCAGGACACACTGAAGAGGACCCGAAGACCTGAATAACAAGAGTAAAATAAAAATATTCACCAGACAAGATCTATCTATCTTCTTTGTTTAAACAAATAAAAGCACTGTAGTTGGGCATAGCTTGCTCTGTGATGATGAAAGGGAACTTGAAATTAACAAGAAGACAATTTGATATATATATTATAATATATATTAATTATAATATATTATAATTTATATATTATAATATATTATATATAATATATATTATAATATATATTATATATATAATATCTGTCTTTTAATTGTCTAGTAATGATTTCACTAGTGTTGGTACAGTCTTTCTCAATACATTTTTTTTCCTTTTTCAGAAAATTCAAGTTTTCCTTATTGTTGTTTTGTATTGTTCTCTAACTAAATGATCGTTACCTACCCACTGCAGTAACATTTCTGATATCCAGATTAGGTATAACAGCTAATCAATGTACAGGTACAGGATACAATCTGGGAAGGAAATTTTCATACTGGCACATCTGTTAGGTCCTTAAAGCACTTTGGAGAAAAAATAAAAAATAAACAAAGAATATTTATTAGGGTCATTCATTCACTTTCTTCTATTCCTCTATTATTGGAGATCATATGTTTTATCCAAATTCCAAGTTCCTTAGGGTTAGATAAGTAATACTTTAGCACTAAGCTTTAAACATGGGTTGTATGTCATTGACTAAGGATTGAAAATGTTTCTGCTAGAATCTAGGTCTGAAAAAAAGGGGGAATGAAAACAATCTGCAAGTTTATTGTGCCTGAACTTCCTCAATAGAACACCATGACCCAGGGCATCAAAAGACAGAAATATTTTAGGCAATTTCTGCTTTAAAAAATCATCAGCCTATTTGGTTTGAAGTCATTGCTCTTCCAACCTTACTTCATACAGATAAATAACACAGAAAAATTGAAGATTGCAAAGTACGTTAGAAGAAGCCTCAAATGATTTTTAGTGGAATATTATGTGCCCAAAACACAAGGAGTTTAAATTAGTAGCTGAAAATGTTCCATTTACCACACATCATAGGAAGTAAGTCTTTTTTTGGTTTCTCTTTAGCTTCATTCCTCCAAATCCTTCACCGGCTGAACTGCTTGTTCCAGGTCATCAAACTCCTTAATAATTTAAACTCCCAAATTCAGACTGAGAAATGCTATGGCTGGCTACATATTGTTGTCAATTCATGTAACAGAAAAAATGATGCTACACATATACGCTTTCATGTACACACACCCCCCAACCACACACACACACACACACACAATTCCTTCAGAAGCAAAGAATCAATCTGTAGTGCCACAAAGATAAGTACAAAGAGGAGTTTTAACATGTAAACCAATATATGGCAATTATGCCAAAGTCTGATTTAACTTTAAAAGTATAAAAATTCTTTACAATACTAATTTTAGGATATGTTAATATTTTTCCTTGATCTTTAAAATTGTTAAGTTTTCAAGTGTGTATATGTCCCTAAACTTTATGTATATTTTTGCTTATTTCTGAGATATATAAAAGTAGAATTATATCCCATGTAATTTTCAATGAATTTTCCCCTAAACAATATTTTCTAAGACACAGCCATATTATGTGTAGCTGGAATTCATTCTTTTTTGCTGCCACATATTTTATTGCATGAATATACCACATTTCAAGAGAGCAAAGATGGCCGGCTGGAAACCCTACTTGTGGCACCTAGATCCTGTGCTTCCCATGGCAACCAAATGCCTCAGGCACATCAGCTGAATGGGAGCAGCGGCCCCTCCCCCACTCATTACAATAGGGAGTACAGCTCCAGCCAAGAAATTCACAAGTGGCCGCCTCCCTCCCGGATGAAGCCATGAGCCATGGGATGAAGCCCTATGGATACAGAGGCCTACTACTCTCCTCTTGGGGTCTTGTGGTGGAAATGGGGTGCACACCTGGGCAAACCCCTACCCACCAGCATTTCACGTAGACGCACACTAGTGGATCAGATACACAGACTGGGGCAAAGTAGGAGAGCTGGACTCGGGTGGTGAGGGAACTCACATGCACGGATCTGATGGGAGTGTGTTGGGGGATTTCAGTGAGCAGTGATTAGGGAAGGCACTCAGCCTTCCCCACTGCCAAATTGCACTGGTGGACAAGGGTGGAAACAGCAGGGCCCAGGGCCTTAGCACTCAAGCACTTGGACCCCTCCCTCCAAAACAGCATTCCTGGCTTGGAGAGCTTGCCCTGAAGCTAATACCTGTGGCTCCCCCAAGTGGCCAGAAAACTAACCTCTGAGATCCACCGAGAATTCACAAAGCCTTTCATGGCTCTTGCAATCCAGTCAGGATAGGATCTGTGTTGCTTCTACCCCCACCTTAATTGGAGGAGAAATCAAGTAACCCCCTGGGAGCTACACGGTCCCTCCTAAAGCTTGGGACGTTCAAGTGCACCACCTGGGAGACCAGAGCTTACCACAGGCACAAAACAACATCTTGGCAGTTATTTGTTGATTTAGGGGTGATTCTTGGAGATTTCCCATAACCCCTGTGAGTCTACCAATGCATTAGAAAAATATGTTTCATTTGGAATCTAGTTGATGTGTAGCAAAAAGGCCTTGAGAATTTACCTTACTCCTAGAAGGAAAAATTTAAAGATCAGAATTTCAGCCCCTTGTGGTAGAGCTAATCAGGGGCAGGGGTTAAGATATGCCTTTTAATGTACATCCCAGAAGCAACTCTCTCCTAAACCTACACATCATAGGAGCAGCCCTTCCACACATTTCAGCAGAAATAGGAGATTCATCATTATGTAACTTTTACAGATTTTATTCTTTGTATTGTCTGGAATTATAGCTTTATTAAAAATGTTTTTATTTGTATGTGATTGTGATTATCTCTAGTGTTTATTTTGTTTTGATTTTTTTTTTCATTTTTAGGGCATTTAGCAGTACTTTTCAAAATGCCTTGGCATGCTGGTAATAATTACTAAAGAGATAACCTTCCCAAAAATGTTTGTGTTATCATTCTGATAAATTAAAAAAAAATTTTAAACTCTTTGCCTAATTTTATCCACCTGCAGAGTTGATTTATACGCTGAAGAACATTAGTTTGGACTCAGCATTTAGTAACTACTAAATTTTCCTTCAATAGTACATCTTTCCTGAGCTACAGCTTCCAACTGGTATAATTATTGTACAGAATTTAGAGTAGTTCTATGCCACCTTGATTGTTTATCATATAACTAATAAGTTATAATTATAACAGCAAAACAGTTTTGAAAAGCAAAATTAGTTTAGTGGCAATTATATTCAAAAAGCCATTCCAAAGAAAGCTAAATAACAACTTTAGTTGAGTCATATGTAAAATGGAAAATCTTCAAAACATAATGCTTTTAAACATCTTGTAGAAAAGTGACATAGTATCTATGATTTTCTTGTTTTGTTGCTCTTTAGCTATAAAGATATATATTAGAATTTTACATGAAAAGATTATAAAATGTTAAAGAGTGCATAAAAATGCTGAGATGACCTCCATAACTTAGTAAACTCTCAAAATATAGTTTTTCATATTTTTAAGGAGGAAAAGTAAATTTTCACATCTTATTTATTCCCACTTTTTTCAGGGGTGAAAACAAAATGAAAAAAGGGTAAAAACAAACTGAAAAAAATTTTATGTAGTTCAAATTACTGAGAATTCTTTCATAATCTCCAATAGCAATTAAAGAGACTACGCAATATATATATTATCCTGCCCAGCAAGGGACTTCTGTCTTTAAATTTATCTTTATCAAAGTAAATGAATGCTGTATGGATTTGCCCTAATAAAAGTTCCAGTTCGAGTCATCATGATGTAACTGGTAGTGAACTCACCTTCTTGCCATAAGCAACAACAAAAACGTATGTGGTTGTGATTTGGGAGAAAAGGGAGGCACACATGAGTACCATGTTTGCCTTGACACTCTTATGTAGAGGCGCATTTGGATTATGGACCTGGGAGATCCAGCTAACTAGAACAGTGTAATCTCTCTGAGCTCAGAAGTCAGAGAAGTAAGTGAAGTTACTGTGAAGTAACTGTACAGATTATATAGCATTTCTCACAAATCTGTAATTTGGGCAGGACTCAGTAGGGACACTTAACTTCTATCCCACTCAGTCATCTAGGGCAGCTCAAAAGCTATGGGGCTGAAATCATCTGAGCTTTTGTTCACTCACATATCTTGTCACATATTCCATATCGAGACACTGGAAAGACTCGAACTGTTGGCGGCCGTGACAACTTGGGTTCCTTGGGTATCCCCATATCTCTCTGTGGCCTCCATATGTGGTCTCTGCATGAATGTTTAGGATAGGGAGACTTCTCATTTGTCAAATCAGGGTTCCCAAGATGTGTGTCTCAAGAAAAGGAAGCAGGAAGAAGCTGCATTGCTTTTCCTAATCTAGCCTTAGACATTATGTTGGTTCTCATCCAATACATGAGAAGGGAGTCGCCAAAACTGACCCAAAATTCAAGGGGAGGGAATCCAACTCCTCTACCTTTTGTGGAAGAGTGTCAAAACATTTGCAGACATATCTTGAAACCATCGTAAGATCCAGAAGCACATGTAGATTGGCCTTAGATGGAGATGGGAATCAAGTTTCCTGTAGAAGAGATAAATTGATATATCAGGATGAGAAGAGGAAGCAGGATGATATGGTAGTTCTCAGAAATACATAATTTCCGGATCATAAAAGTACACAGAATGTAAATGTAGAGCAAATTTCATACTGTCAGCTTTGAAGAAAGACTATTTAGCCAAAACTTCTTGATAAACAGAGTCTTTGGACTGTGTCTTGAAGAAAAATAATGTGGGGCATTTCAAGGAAGAATTAGCAAGATGAGTAACAACATCAATTTAGGCCTTAGTCTAGCTGGCATGAGGCTGGGGATGGAGGAAGCCAGAGACCAGTGAGAAATCAAAGTCCAGGGGTTAACTGCAGAAACATAGATAGAGCTAAGACAAATTTTCAAAACGGAAATACCTGGTCTTAGGTGATTTCAGTCTAGAAAGATAAACTGAGTAATGACAATAAATTTGTATTATATATATTTTTAATTTCAAAGAAGATCTTTAAGAAAAATAATGTAGTGCCCAAAAGAGAAAGTAGATTGAGTATGAAAAGGTCTGCCTTGGTATGGAAACAAAAGAGAACAAGATAGAAAATTAAGCATGAAAGTGCACGACAAAGAGATAGAATAGGGACTCAACCACAAAGAAAGGGGAAGGAAATAACGTTAAAAATACAGTCTAATTTTCAGCACCAATAAAAACCAAGTCCTTAGGTAAAAGTCTTGCTCTATGGCTCGAGCTAAAGTACAGTGGCAGAATCATAGCTCACTGCAACCTGAAACTCCTGTGGTCAAGCGATCTTCCTACCTCAGCCTCCAGAGTAGCTGGGACTACAGGCATATACCACTATGCCTAGCTAATTTTTCTATTTTTTCATAGAGATGGGGTTCTTACTATGTTTCTCAGGCTGGTCTTAAACTCCTCGACTCAAGCAATAGGAGAAGAAATTTTATTACCAAAATATTTCATTTAAAGAAGTATAAAAGGAATTACTTGGCAGCAAAAAAGGTAAGACAGGGTTTTTTTAATAAGCAAGATTTTAAAGTTATCAAACAAATTTATTAAGTGTATAAAAAGCTACAGATTCTATCAGAAAATAGTCATTACTTGTGGGGACTACAAGGCTTTTTTCTAGTATACAATAACAATATTCCTGTACATGATAATGTTAGGATTTCAGCACAGCCATTGGTCAATAACACTTGCTCAACACATTTTTATAAATTAAACTATAATCACAGAAGCAATGAGTTTTAAATCTTAAATGCATGAGACCATAAACTGACATACTAAAGATTATAAAATGAATAGATTTCTGAAGGTACATTTTCAAGTAACCTTTAAACATTTTTATCATATACATATTATTAATATATATCTAGTAATCTCAAATGAGTTAATAATTAATTCAGTTAAGAGATCCATTTGCTGTCATATATAGAAAATGATTTTTAAAAAATTATTTGATATGAATTTACAAGAACATTCAGGTACTGTATGAGGCAATTTACATACAAATTTCTAGCCTATACAATAAACCTGTAAGTAGGAACTACTATTATTCTTACTTTCTTGAGGAGATATAATGAGTCTTGTAAGGACTACCAGACTTCCAAGACCGCATGGTTTATAAGTGTCAGGGTCAGGATTTGAACCCAGCTCTCACTCCCAAGCATGTACGCCATTATATTGACTAAGGATGCAATCAAAACATGAATTTGAGGGTAAATTTAAAACTGTATCTAATAAACTGCTTTAATCATGCATGCATATGAATATACATAGACACAAAAAACATCCTGGTACATAAGAAGGCCACTATCGGAGCCTGGAAGACCCATTTATGAGAATAAATTTACTACCATAGAATATACATATAAAACATGTTTCTATGAATGTAAGATGAACTGATTTTTTGTTTGATTTTTATTTATTTTTTGTTCATCCTCAAAAATTCTTCCAATAGATATTAATAGTATTGATCAATATAAAACCTAAGTTTATAATCTAGACTGTTTTAAAAAATTTACATATATTTTTCTCTCAGAAACCTATATATATATATGTTTTATTTATACCATATGTATGATATGCTTCTAGAATATATACATATACACACATATACCTCTCCCTATCACCCTATTTGTCTATCTAAACAGAGATCATCTATTTCTCTCTCTCTCTCTCTCTCTCCACACATACACACACACATATCATTAGGCAAGAGAAAATTGCCTAATATTACCTTCAGAGATATCTATTAAAAATATTTTTTCTATAGTAAACATATATTATTTCAAAATTGGTATTCTGATATAAGGAAAGGGTGTGATATTTATAGTCCTATAGTAATGTATATCTTAGGTTTACTTTAAATTCAATTATTAGAATTAACTTTATACTTTACAATAGATTTTTTTCCTTTCTTTTTTTTGAGCATATTACAGGGGTATAAATGTTTAGGTTACATATATTGCCTTTGCCCCACCCGAGTCAGAGCTTCAAGCATGTTCACCTCCCAGACAGTGTGCACTTCACTCATTAGGTGCGAATATACCCACCCGCTCCTCTCCCCTCCTACCCGCATGACACCTGATGAATGTGACTACCATATGTGCACATAAGTGTTGATTAATTAATAATGATTAATTAATTAATAAAGTATTTATTAAATAATTAATAAATACTCACCAATTTTATGGTGAGTACAATTTCATGGTGCTAATTTTTCCATTTTTGTGATACTTCACTAAGTAGAATGGGCTCCAGCTCTATCCAGGATAATACAAGAGGTGCTAGATCACCATTGTTTTTTGTGGCTGAGTTGAACTCCCTGGTAAACATATACCACATTTTATTAATCCAATCATGTATTCATGGGTACTTGGGCTGCTTCCACATCTTTGCCATTGTGAATTGTGCTGCTATAAACATTCAAGTGCAGGTATCTTTTTTATAGAATGTCTTTTTTCCTTTGGGTAGATGCTCAGTAATAGGATTGCTGGATAAAATGGTAGTTCTACTTTTAGGTTTTTGAGATATCTCCATATTATTTCCACATGGGTTGTACTAGTTTGTAGTCCCACATGAAGTGTATGAGTGTTTCTATCTCTCCATATCCACACCAACATTTGTTTGAGGACTTTTTGATAAAGACCATTCTCATTGGAGTTAAGTGATATCTCATTGTAGTTTTGATTTGAATTTCCCTAATGATTAAAGATGTTGAGCATTTCATATGTTTGTTGGCCATTAGTCTGCATTCTCTTGAAAAGGCTCTGTTCATGTCCTTTGTCCACTTTTTGATATGGTGGTTTCATTTTTTCTTGTCAATTTTCCTGAGTTCTAAATAGATTCTAGTTATCAGCCCTTTATCAGATGTGTAGGATGTGAATATTCTCTACCATTCTGTAGGTTGTCTGTTTGCTCTTGTGATAGTTTCCTTGGCTGTGCAGAAGCTTTTTAATTTGCTCAGGTCCCATTTCTTTATTTTTGTTGTTGCTGTGATTGCCTTTGGGGTCTTCTTCATAAATTCTTTGCCTAGGCCAATGACTGTAAGAGTTTTTCCAACATTTTCTTCCAGAATTCTTATAGTTTCAAGCCTTACGGTTAAGTCTGTTATCCACCATGAGTTTATTTTTGTGAGAGATGAAAGATGTGGATCCTATGTCAGTCTTCTACATGTGGCTATCCAATTTTCCCAGCACCATTTACTGAATAAGAATTATTTCCCCCAGTGTATGTTTGTTTCTGCTTTGTCAAAGATTAGATGGCTACATGAGGATGGTTTCATATCTGGGTTCTCAGTTCTGTTCCATCGGTCTATGTCTCTGTTCTTGTGCTAGTACCATGCTGTTTTAGTTACTATAGCCTTGTAGTGTAGCTTTAAGTCTGGTAAATTGATGCCTCCCAATTTGTTCTTTTTGCTTAAGATAGCTTTTGCTATATGGGGTCTTCTCTGGTTCCATATGAAGTATAAAATTATTTTTGCTAGAAATGCAAAAAAATATGTTGGTATTTTAATAGGAATTGCATTTAATCCATAGATCACATTGGGTAGTATACACATTTTAACAATGTTGATTCTATTGAGTCATGACCATGGTATGGTTTTCCACAGGTTTACATCCTCTGCCATTTCCTTCCTCAGTGTTTCATAGTTTTCACTGTAGAGGTCTTTTATCTCCTTAGTTAAATATATTCCTAAGTATTTTATTTGTTTTGTTGGTATTGTGAAGGGTATTGAGTCTTTGATTTTGTTCTCAGTTTGACTATTGTTGGTGTATAGGAATGCCACTGATTTCTGTATATTGATTTTGTGACCTGAGACTGTGCTGCATTTGTTTATCAATTTCAGTGGTCTCATGGCAGAATCTTTGGGGTTTTCTAGATATAGGATCATATTGTCAGCAAAGAGTAATAGTTTGACCTCTTCTTTCCCCATCTGGATACCCTTAATTGCCTTCTCTTGCCTGATTGCTCTGGCTAGGATTTCCAGCACCATGTTGAATAGAAGTGATGATAGAGGGCAACTTTGTCTGGTTCCAGTTCTAAGCAGGAATGCTTTCTATTTTTCCCCATTCAATATGATGTTAGCTGTGGGTTTATCATATATGGCTTGTAATATTTTTAGGTAATTCCCATCTATGCCTATTTTGTTAAGTATTCTTGTCATTAAAAGGTGCTGAATTTCATTTAATTATTTTTCTATGTCTATTGCGAGGATCATACAGTCTTTGTTTTTGCTTCTATTTCTGTGGTAAATTACATTTATAGATTTGTGTATGTTGAACCATCCCTTCATCTCTAGGATGAAGTCCACTTGATTGTGATGGATTATTTTTTTGATAAGCACCTGAATTCAGTTTGCTAGGATTTTGTTGAGAATTTTTGCATCTATATTCATAAGGGGTATTGGTCTGTAGTATTCTTTTTCTGTTGTGTCCTTTCCTCAATTTGGTATCAGAGTGATGTTGGCTTCATAAAAGGTGTTAGGGAGGATTCCTTTCTTCTCAATGTTGTGGAATTAAT